TAATACTGTGTGTAATGGTATGGCCCTACAATAAGCATACCAACTAATACTGTGTACAATGGAATGGCTCTGCAATAAGCATACCAACTAATACTGTGTGCAATGGTATGGCTCTACAATAAATATACCAACTAATAATGTGTACAATGGTATGGCTCTACAATAAGCATACCAACTAATACTGTGTACAATAGTATGGCTCTACATTAAGCATATCAACTAACACTGTGTGCAATGATATGGCTCTACAATAAGCATACCAACTAATACTGTGTGCAATGGCATGGCTCTACAATAAGCATACCATCTAATACTGTGTGTAATGGTATGGCTCTACAATAAGTATACCAAATAATACTGTGTACAATGGTATGGCTCTACAAATAGCATACCAAATAATACTGTGTACAATGATATAGTTCTACAATAAGCATACCACCTAATACTGTGTACAATGGTATGACTCTATAATAAGCATACCAACTAATACTGTGTGCAATGGTATGACTCTACAATAAGCATACCAACTAATCCTGTGTGCAATGGTATGGCTCTACAATAAGCATACCAACTAATACTGTGTGCAATGGTATGGCTCTACAATAAGTAAACCATCTAATACAGTGTGCCATGGTATGGCTCTACAATAAGTATACCAATTAATACTGTGTGCAATGGTATGGCTCTACAATAAGCATACCAACTAATACTGTGTGCAATGGTATGGCTCTACAATAAGCATACCAACTAATACTGTGTACAATGGTATGGCTCTACAATAAGCATACCAACTAATACTGTGTGCAATGGTATGGCTCTACAATAAGTATACCAACTAATACTGTTTGCAATGGTATGGCTCTACAATAAGCATACCAACTAATACTGTTTTGCAATGGTATGGCTCTACAATAAGCACATCAACTAATACTGTGTGCAACGGCATGCCTCTACAATAAGCATACCAACTAATACTGTGTACAATGGTATGGCTCTAAAATAAGCATACCAACTAATACTGTGTACAATGGTATGGCTCTACAATAAGCATACCAACTAATACTGTGTACAATGATATAGTTCTACAATAAGCATACCAACTAATCCTGTGTGCAATGGTATGGCTCTACAATAAGCATACCAACTTATACTGTGTGCAATGGTATGGCTCTACAATAAGTATACCAACTAATACTGTGTGCAGTGGTATTGCTCTACAATAAGTATACCAACAAATACTGTGTGCGATGGTATGGTTTTATTATAGCATACCAACTAATACTAAAAATGGCATGTCTCTATAATAAGTATACCAACTGATTCTGCGTGCAATGTCATGGCTCAACCACAGGGAGCCCAGGAACTATGGTCAACTGTATGCAGTCTCTATGAGAGGGGGGTATCGGCTGGTATCTAGTGTAAGAAATTGACAAGGGATGAAGGCTCCAGCGAGCTCATATTTTTTTAACTGGAAAAAACAGATGAACAGAATGAAAAATAAAATCTATAAAAAATATCAGGTTGAAGAATATTAGTTGCCCCTTCAAATTTCGCCAAAGTCTTACCTATATATTTTACCCATATCTTCATAATAAATCAAGAAAACTAAACAAATTGACTCCATTTATGAATAATTAACGGTTGGTCCGAACGCACGGCACAGTTGGAGGCGAAGAACCAATCACAAGACTGGTTACGAACAAGTTGAGCAAGGCTAACCGAGTCGTAACCTCGATGTGGTTCGTAACCAGTCTCGTGATTGGTTGTTGATAAATTCTGAACAGACCGAAATCTAAAAAGTTTAAAACAGAATCAGCGAACTTCTTTGTGTGAATTCCGGTCAAACCCTGGTGGCAGCCATGTTGTTTTTATTATTGGAGGACGCATACGCACGTAATAATTCCATATTTGGAATTCGCATTTCCTTTTGGCGTAACTTATGGCGTTACGATGACAGATGTATAGTATTACATGGTATTCGACATGAATGTCAGGTTTGTATTGCGTTGTCCGATACAATAATGTTGCCTAATCATATATATAAAACGCAGAAATTAATGCCTGGAAGTGATCGCTGTCCAATAACTGCAACAATTAAAATACCAACTTTCACAGATATTTAACTATAACCTAAACAATAACCTACAAAATTAAATGTTCAAACTCAACAACAGAAATATATAAACTGTCCTTGCGAACAGATTAAGGCAAAAGCTTGATAAACAAATTTATAGAGGCTGACTTTATAAAGAGGAACATAAATGAAATTTGTTTAGAATTTCAAAATATATTGGAAAACATTAATAAAAAATGCTACATTGACAAAACAAAAAGAAATACATGTAAAAAAAAAAGACATAGATTTACAGATGCAAAATGTATGAATATATGAAAAAGGAATTGGAATCCATTGTCAAAAGTATACAAAAGAAACCTTATGACAAAGGCTTAAGAACAATTTATTATGAAAAGAAAAAGAACTTTCGAAAATACATTAAAAAATTACAAAAGGAAAGGTGGCAACAAATAAAACAAAAAATAGATTCTGAAGATAAAAAAGAAAATCAAATTAAATTTTGAAATGTTGTTAGACAATTTACTAAGAGAAAACAAGATAACACGGCTGTAGACATCCAATATGGAGAAGGGGGTCAATCATTTTCAAAATATAAGTGAAAACAATAATTTATCTACAGAGTGACAAAAATAGGTTTACAAAAAACTACTAGATGAGGAAAAAATTAACAAGAATAAATAACATGTTAAATGAAACATTAATCTATCACAAAATAATCCAAGCACATGAAATAGATCAACACCGAAAAAGTAACAGGACTTGATGGAAAACCATCCAAAATGCTGAAATACAGCCATCTATTGGTTACAAAAGCACTCCTAAAAATGTTTAACACCGCATTAAATAGTGGGGAATACCCAAACTGTTGGAATACTAGCACAATTACAACAATCCACAACAAAGGAGATATTCACAATCCAAATAATTACAGGAGTATTTCAACTAGAAGCTCAATCGGAAAGTTGTTCACGATGTTAATTAACAAAAGACTAGCACAGTATTTAAACACAACTTGATTCATAAAAATCAAGCTGGCTTTGCAGAACAACAGACCATGTAATACCACTGCACATATCGACAGAAAATATCAGTCAAAAAACAAAAAAACTATACTTTTGCTTCATTGATTTGAGCAAATGTTTTGACACAGTTTGAAGGCATGGACTGTTCCTTAAGTTACAACAAAACGATGTGTGTGGTAACATTTATAATGTCATAAAACGTATATACAGGAATATGGATTTTCAAGTGAAAATTGGTAACAAAGTAACACCATATTTCACAATACAAGATGGTGTCCAACACTATTTTATTTATTAATCAATGACTTAGTGGGGAGATAAATAAATGCACAAACAGTGCTCTTGAATTAAATGATTAGGCTATTACCTAACTGTTATTTGCTAACGACTTTGTATTGACAGCATTAACAGAAAACGATTTACAAAAAGCACTTAACACATTGCATCAATATACAAATAAATGGGGTCTGCAATTAAATACCAAAAAGACAAAAATAATGCTTTTCAACAAAATTGGGCACAAACCTGGAAACACACAATTTACATTTGGCAATAATTCAATAGATATAAGTGATACATTTACTTATTTGGGTGTTATATTTAATAAACATGGGTCACTGAACTGTACAATTGACAGACTGGCTGATGAAACGAGGAAATCAGAAGCAATGACAAGAACATTATTATCGGGATCAACAAACATTAATCTACAACTACAGTTATTCGAGGATATTCAAATTTGGGGTATCACTATAAATCAGGGATAAAACAAAAACAGAAAAACACCACCCCAGGTTATGTAGACACCTACTAAATGTCCATAACAAGACAAGCAACATTGACACTAGAATGGAAATTGGACGGCTCCCTTTAATTGCAAAAATACAATACCAAGCCATAATATATTATCAAAATATTTTGAGGAATGGCCCAATAAGCTTGGCATACGATGCATTAATAGACCAGTAACAGAATCAATACAAAGATTCTTGGTTTACAAATCTTCAGAAATTACAACAAATTTACAATATACATAACACAAAAAACATCAACTATAAAATAAAACTTGAGCAATAATGACCCAAACTCAAAACTATGGACATATGAATTATTAAAAATAAGATTGAAATTGCCAAATACCTAAAAAACAGTACAAAATAGAAAGGATACTAGCCTTCTTTCAAGACTAAGACTAAGTGAACATAAATTAATCATTGAATCTGGAACATACATACCAAAAATCAAATAATAGAAAATGTGCGAAATGTAATATTACTGAAGATGAGCTAAACTTTTTCACATCATGTAGTCTGTTAGCAAATAACGCAGAAAAACTGTTTACATTTTAAATGCTGAGAACAGACCAAAGAATATAATAAAATAATTAATTAAGTAAATAAAAAAGCATATACGACAAGAAAACAATATTATCAATGTTAAACAAAAACTCATGGAAATGTAATATTTTAATTGTTATCTTCAAGTACCAGTATTATTTCTTTACTGTATCTTTATGATAAGTATAGTTTTAGGTTTTTAGAATAGTTTGTTATACCTTTATTACATTTGTATTATCTTATCGTATAATGTGATTATTTCATAGTCATGGTCAATATGCAATTGAGCCAGTTCAGTACTTGTGTTATTATGTGCATTAAAAAAACATGATATAAGCCAAGAATATCTAACATTACACTAGTGATCTGTTAACATCAGGCAATGACTCGTTATGACTAAAACAAAAAATTATAAGCAAATTGTTCAGTTGAAATTTTTCTAAAGTATTTAGTCAGTTTTGTCAGTTACAAGTACATCCTCAAATGAAATACTGCTTTTTGTTGCCCATGAATTGTAACCGAGATTGAAAACATGTAAAGTGATTTCGTAGAGCCAGGCCCATATGGAAGAGGTTCCATTGACTAGAGCATCGCTCTGTTTATCTGCAATATTTTCCCCGTCATAATTCTCTTGATCTTCCGCTATTTTACTTTTGATAGCTTCTGTGTATTGGTTTTTGAAAGGGGTGTCCCCGTTGTCTTCCTTAATTTGTTCGACTTTTTGAACAAGTTCCTGTATTTGTTTCTTTTTCACCTTCTCTATTTTGGTTTTATTGTCAAAAGCAATCACACGTTTATTGCATTTGGCCAGTAAGTCCGACAGGTCTTCTGGCGTCTCTTTTAAAAATTCATCCAGCGTAGTGTTTTCCTGTGTAAGAGCATCCTTTCGTGTGAACAATACGATTAGGTATTTCATCATATCATCTCCAAAGGTTTCACGGAATATCTTGACCGAGTCGACATGCTCTTTAGTAAACCTGTCATCGGCATTAATAACCAAAATGAAGGCATCCACACCCTCGCCCTGACTCACTGCAACGCCAACGCACTTGGTGATTTCGGTTATTGTTTTCTCTTGCTCGCCGCCAGTATCAAACACACCAGGTGTGTCGATAACTACAAGATCTTTTCCATCAAATGTACGTTTTCCATAGCGTGTAGTCTTTGTCGTTGATACTAGACGTCGTTCGGCATCGAACGTATTTCCACCAATAATGCTATTGCCCGTTGCACTCTTACCACATCCAGTTCGACCAATCAAAACGAAAACCAATTTACTGCAATTGGATGCTTTTTTCCTATACAGAAAATTCCTATAAATTAAAAATAACAATTGAAAAAATGAATTACATTAGAACAAGTGTATATACTGGAACCATGAAAACAGCCTTAGAATCTACATTTTAAAGGAGTCGGAATATTAGATTGACTGCATCTCACCTAAAACATTTTTTTCAAAATCATCTATACTTATATCTGAACCCAGATGTCATCATTTGTAGGTGATTTTAGTTTCATTAAGAGTACATTTTAAAATTGTGTTGTCTACGCTTTTCGATATTACTTTTTAATCTTATATTTTGAAATTGAGTTTCGCAATTACCATATACATGATTCCAACACGCGACATGAAAAGATGTATGTTCAATTGTTACAAGGCGATTTCCATAGTAACAAACAGTTTTGTATTAAACGGCCAAGCTTTACGTGGTGAACAATACTTTTACAAACAATTACAATACTTGTAATTGCCAAAACTCAATTATATTACTTAAGACAAAGAAGAAATAACAGGAAAGCGTAGGAGACTACAAAAATTGAATATAATTTCACAATATGCAAATCATATATATGTGTAACCCAATCATTTTGTGTGCCCAAAATGTAGGTATTACGCAGTAATTTAGTAAATGATTGTGTATTTACCAACCCATCTTAGCATAAAATTGCAAACTGTTTTATAACATTATACAATGTATTAATTTATTTTGTATGTATAAGCTGCTCATCTATGCTTAATTGACCGTATTTATTATGCACAACTGTAGTTCTAAATTATGAGGTGTGAACGAGGTTGGATACCGTTTTTTATGAAAACTAGGCTGTGGATAGAAAGGAGCGGTAGGGAGAGTTGATTTGGTTTCTGGGCTCTCTGTATAAATACTAGCTAAGTTGTATGTGTAACTTGATGCATCGATCGAAAAGCTAGGAAAGAACTGAGTCAGGGTGTTGCAGCCCACGGGCGAGTTGCTGTGCGAAGTTTGTGTTATTCCCATGCCGTGAAGAAGTCAAAGTAACTGTCGAACCAGTGTCGCAGCAACTTTGTGGACATTCAACGTTGGACTGTGTCGTCGATTATCGGATTGTTGTGACTCGGGAACTGTTCGATTAAGCGGTGAGTGATCTCTTGAAAACTAGGGCTCAATGAACTTGACATTCATCAGATCATGGAGCCTGAATCTTCGAAAGTTGTTGTAATTCTCTTAGAGTGACTGTGTTCTCCGGCGTCGCCATTGCGTTATCGCCAATTATACGTGCCTCGTGACCAGCGAATTTTCGGAACTGTACAGAACGTTGTGAACCAGTTGGCGACTTTTGATATCGTGTGACATTGCTGTATATTGTTGAACATACCATATGTTTGTTTTGATATATTTTTATTATAGTAGTATTATCATTTAATGAGAACTGACGATAGCGGTAAAGATATTGTGTTCTCGCTGTACATTTTTGTAAAGCAATTAGTGGATGGCGCGAGTCTGTTGTTTTTGCCCCAGTAATTTGGTTTTTGAGTGACATTATTCTTTATTATTCATGTTTTTGGCCGTTTGGCAATTGCTCAGAAATCATCGCTGTGAAACTTTCAGCTTTACTTTGGATAGCGGTACTTTTAGACGCTACCATTTCTTGGGACGGGGACATAGCATAGACTCTGCTATCCTCTTCTTGCTTAATTTTTTCTGTGAAGTACCAGTGTACTTTCTGTAGCGGTTAGCCGCATATGATTCATATTGTTTAAGCATAATCTAGATTTATTTAATTATGCGTAGACTCCCTGTGTTTTACGTTGTTGAGTTTGAAGCATTTTAGTGAGTTTTAGAGATACATGTTTTGTTCTTTTAACAGAGCCTAGGTGCATTTCTATGTAGTAATCTGTGTTTTATATTAATGCAACTATTAATATTGCTCTTCTTTAAGATAGTTTAAAGTGAGAGGCTGTGACAGGTTAATACAGTGCATGTGATTATAATTAGGTACTGATCAGATATTATTGGATATGTTTAAAGTTTTGTTTGTGAGTATCAATGTAACATTTGATGTATTACACAGATCTTGATGGATTAATAAGGTTAGTGATGTATTTACACAGATTTTGATGGATTAATAAGGTTAATGTAGTTTGTTTAGTTTGAGCTGGATAGACCCTGTGTATAAGATAGATAGGACATGCTGGATTAATACATGTATATTGTTTTGAGCATACATGTATATCAGGTTGTTGTAGTTTAATATAGTTAAGTGAATTATTTGTACGATTATACGGTGGCCCATATATACAATTGGTCCGCTACATGAAAGTCAGTCGGCTATTTGAAAATTGCTCCGCTACATGAAAATCGGTCGGCTACTTGAAAATTGCTCGGCTACTTGAAAACTGATCCGCTACATGAAAATCGCTCCGCTACTTGAAAAAATCGGTCGGCTACTTGAAAATCGCGCCGCTATATGAAAATTGCTCCTCTATCTAGAAAATCGCGTGTATGTTGCGAGATAACCTTCGACCTGCAGATATGACCCGGAAGTACAACATGCAATGTATACCATTGCTTGTGTATGCTTAGGAAGTCGGGTAAACAACGTATTCATCTGTTTGTTAAATAAAATGAAGTCAACCAACCTGTATACTTGAAACATCATATTTGCATGTGTTGATTGTATTGGCATGCTGACTCTAGACTTTGAATGTAAACAGGTTACAAGTCAGTGCGCCATTCTAACCCTATACACCACAAATTGTTCCGACTCGTTACCAAATCTA